GATCTTGATATGCTGGATGTCTGCCGAGGTGATCTCCCCACCAGATATGAGCTTGAGAGGGCCTTGCGGTTGTCGAAACCAGGCCGTGCTGCCGGCAATGACGGGATGCCCCCGGATGTCCTGCACTTCTGCGCCAGTCAGCTTTCTGACGCGATCTATCCGATCCTTCTCAAAATCGCCTTTCGCCTACAAGAGCCGATTCAGTTCAAGGGCGGCACTGTGCGTCAGATTTATAAGCAAAAAGGCGATCTTGCAGAGTGCGCCAGCTACAGGGGCATTCTCATTTCAAGTACTATCGGCAAGAGCATTCACGCTGCTTTTCGCCGTAAGTGCGGGGTCTGGCTCGACACCGCGGCTTCCCCCCTTCAGGTCGGTGGCCGAAGGGGCTTTCCTGTTCAACTTGCTGCACAGGCAGCAAGGGATTTTCAGGCTGGTCATCTTAAGCGAGGCAGGAGCACCGCCTTAGTGTTCTTGGACTTGCGCGAGGCATTCCACCGAGTTGCTCGTCCTCTCGTCCACGGTGGTGATCTTAGTGATGAACACCTCGCCAGTGTCATCAGTTCATTTGGTCTTCCTCACGACCATCTTCATCGGCTACGCGAATATGTCCAGGCTGAGTCCCTGCTCGTTTCCGCCGGTGCCTCTGATTGGGCCGCAGCCGTTGTTAAGGAATTCCAGGCAGACTCGTGGCTAACGATCGGGGAGGGCTTAGCCGTTGTCGAATCCGGGACACGTCCCGGCGACGCGCTCGCCGACGTAGTATTTGCCTTCCTCTTCTCCTCAGTCCTTCAAAAGGTCAGGCAGGCCATTTTCGCAGCAGGATACGAGGTTGTTCTTCTCTGGGCTGCCTCGTGGTTCCGTCAGCTTTCGACGCTGGGCTGCCCTGACGGCACTCTTGCACCCATAGACGTAGCATGGATGGACGACCTAGTCATCCTTCTCTCTTCGTCCACCCCTGAGGGCGCACTTGCTGCGACCAAGGGTGCTGCAACAGCTCTGATTGATGAGTGCCTCAAGGCATTGCTTCACCCCAACCAAGTCAGAAGCCCTACTTACCCTTGTTGGTAAGGGCTCCCGGCGTCTCCGGTCTGAGCTCTTTCGGGTCGATGTGCCTACTGTTGAGCTCTCTTCTACTCTGTGGCCCGGAGCGCGCCTCAGAGTGACCCCTAAGTATAAGCATTTAGGAGGTTTGCTGCGCTGGTCAGGATCACTTGACCCTGAGCTTAAAGTTCGCTCCGCTCAGGCATGGCAGGCTTTTCGTAAGCACAGGCGGCTGATTTTCAATTCGCCCTCTGTAACGCACAGGGAGAAGGCTTTGCTCTTTCAGTCACTAGTGCTTTCGCGGTTGCTTTATGGTGCTGGCACCTGGTCCTACCAGGACGACACTATTGAGCAGCGCATTCAGGGGGTCTTGCTTGCCATGGCACGACAAATGTTGCGCCCATCGTACAACTTTGAGGCTTCTTGCCACCGGTGCTGGCCAGGTTCTTGCTGTTGCCAGAGTTCCTTCTGCAAATTCTTCTGCACGTCGAGCGCTTGCGACATCTGGCTGTTGTCACCCGAGTCGCGCCCGCTGAATTCTGGGCTATCTTGCACCA